TCCTGGCCATTGGTATATAAACCTGGTTGTCTGTATTCTGGGAAGATGGGGGAAGTAGACTAGAAGGTCTCACCCTTTAATATACATACTTTCACTTCAGCCTTATCCCATACTCTGCTGTTATCTATCCTTAGGTCTAAAGCCCCTCACATTGTTTTTCCAGAGTGTAAGCCTTTGGTACCTGCCAGGACAATGGGTAGGGGAAACTTGGGTTTAGGGAGGGCATCTGAGCATCTATCTGCTCCTTTAATAATCATTCAAACAGTCCTGTTTTCAAATCCACTCTTCTTTCCCTCTCTCAGAGGTATCTGGTGTCTCTAATCCCGGGCCATTCCACTGCCAGGGCACGTAATTGGTTTTGCTCCTTTAAGTATTTCACCCCATTCCCACACTCTGCAGAGGCATTAGGTTTCAATGTCCTGTAATCTGCTAATTTCCTTTCACCCATACTTTGCTATCCATTTCCCAAAATGTAGTTGACATCTAGAGTCAACTTCTCTCTTGTTTTCCTTTCCTTATGAATTTATTCACTTTTAATAATTTGCTGTCATTTCAGTGGTGTTTTGGGACGTACTAGAGATAAACATATGTATTCAGTTCTCCATGTTTAACAAAAGCATTCCTTTCTATTTTTTAAAATATCTTTCCTTGTCATTAGATGGCACAGGAACTGGTAGAATTTAAAACGTCTGCCCCTTTGTTTTCTTTATCTATAGTCTTACGACTACAAAAATACTGAATTCTCTGTACTGTGTTTCCTTTGGTTGTTATACATAAACTGGTTTTGTTTTGTTTTGCTTTTTAAAATTTACTACATTCTTTTTCTGGATCACAACAATGCCCTTAACAGTGGGCCACACTGTCCCAACAGGACTCACATGGAGCTAGTAGGAAGGAAAACTGGCAGCGAAAAGCATGCGCTCTCTTTTAACCTGCTTTTAAATGGTAATGTCCTATTCTCTAGCACTTTATGTGTTGTTGTTGTTGTTTTCTCTGACTTCCCTTTCTTTTTAACGTTGAGATTTTTTTTTTAATTGTGAGCCTGCACCCTCTGAGGACTTTTCAGGGCCCCCTTTCACATTTACATTTCCCTTACAGTTTTATTTTCCATTTTCTCTCTTCTTGTTGACCTGTAGCTTTGTGGCTTCACCTTCCTGACCCTTGTTTCTGGGGCTGCTCTCCCACAATCCCCGCTCCACACAGGAATGCCCATTTTGCCCTTTAGAAGCTACGGCTTTCCTCCTATCCTTGAGAACTTTCTTTACACAATGAAAAGCAAAGTCCACCCATTCTCTGGCCTCTTGAGTGAGAGCAGGACGTTCCTCTCCTTAATTAGCTTTCTTATTAGAGCGCTAATTTATCTTCATTCTAAAGGGAATTTGTTCTCCACTTAAATGTGGCTTTTCTTCTCCAGGACCTAAGAAATTTCGAGTGTCTGGAATGCATGGCCAAAAGAGTGGTGCTTTTCACTTTGTATGCTGCAACCTCCATTCTTTCTGGCCAGGAATGCTAGTCGCTTTTATTGGCCAATTTCCCATTTTTATAAGAAATTCTGGGTGTTGGCATGCTTAATCAGAGGAGCAGCCTTAATTATTTACTCTTACTGTTCGGTTATAATTATTTAACTTCTACTGGAAAATCTAGCCTCCCCTCCCCTCTCCTCATCCCAGCAAAAGGAAATTTGCCCCCCTGGCATGTCCTTGCTAGTAGATAACTTTCCCTGTGGAATGATCAATCCCTCTCTACTCCCCAGTAATGATCTATAATCATTTATAAACCATCTCGGCCTCCTGATCTTTCAAAAGTCTGATATATATATATATATATATATATATATATATATATATATATATATATATATATATATATTAAGTCCTTATAGTTGAAAGTATTACATATGTCCCATTTTCCCCCTTGACCCCTTTCTAGCCCACCCCACCCTCGGCCTGAGCGGCTTCCTTTTACAACGAATGAGCAAGAAGAGCTCCAAATGTAGCTCCTTTTGTCTGAAAAGGACATTCACTGTCCACTTTTAGTCATTTCTTTCGCCAAAATCACCTCCAGGGGCCCTGAGATTGGGAGCCTCAAAATGGCCCCCTATGCCTGCTCTCCTGCTATTCTCACTCATGTGCAAAAATCTCTTTTGCTCTGACTGTGGGCTGGGTTTATTGACTCGTTTGTGATGAGTAGAATACAGCAGAGGCCATGGGATGTCACTGCCAAGATGAGATTACAAAAAGACTGTGGCTTCTCTCTTGGGCACCATCCTCTTTTGCACTGTCTCATGCTTGCTCACTTGCTTGTTCTCAGGGAAGCCAGATGCCCTGTGGTGAGCTGCTCTGAGGAGAGCTCTATGCTGTAAGGAACCAAGGGAGGCCCCTGACCTCCGGCAAGGTGCTGAGGCTCTGAGCCCAAGAGCCCAGGAGGAAATAAATCCTGCTCACAACCATAAAGTGAGCCTGGAAGCCAGTCCTCCCCCAGTTGAGCCTTTGCATGAAACTGCAGCCCCTGACAACCTGATACCAATCTCATGAGAGGCCTTGAGCCAGGGGCACCCAGCTAAGTCACATTCAGATCCTTGTCCTACAAAAATTATGAGATAACGTTTGTTGTTTGAAACCACTGAATTTACGGCTAGTTATTGTGGAACAATGAAAAACTAATATAGGACCTTAAGGGCAATTTTTTAACTTTAGTCTATGCTTTTTATATAAGTTGCTGTTTAGGCCATTCTTGCCTCTTGATGTAATTTAATTACTCAAATAAAACTTTCTTTAAAGTCCTCTTTGAGAACAGAGAATGGCTGTGTCAGCCTTGTTCATAATGGGAGATCTAGTACCCAGGACAGGGTCTGCCACCTGGATAGATATCTGCTCAATATATTTTGTGAATTTGACCTGTCTTTTTCTACTTGTCCTAGTTTATAAATTGCTTCTCACTTTACACTTTGTCATTTCTTTGGGTTCTCTTACAATTCTAGAGCCTGGGAAATTAGAAAACCTGCTGGTCTAGTTGCCTTGATCTTTCAGCCCTTTAACATGTTAAGTGCCCAGCCTGTTTTGTCTTCTGGATGAAAAGTATAGTGTCAGTCACCAGAGACTGACTGGGTGCTTCATGTGTTAACCTGCTGTCGCTCCTCTAGAACTTCAACTCTCCTGCCTCATTTGAAGCAAAATTGTGTCACCTCTCTCCCTTCAGGGTTTCTCCAGCTGAGCTGAGTCCTGTGTGTCTCCCCTCACCCCTGCCTGCACTGGTGAGGTGGCTCCTTTACTAGGGACATTGTTTTGCCCTCTTCCAACAGGAGACACTCAATCATCTGATCCATTAAGCATCTGGCAGAATAAGTTGTGTGTTTACCATCATTTTAAAAGAAAGAAAGGAAGGAAGGAAGGAAGGAAGGAAGGAAGGAAGGAAGGAAGGAAGGAAGGAAGGAAGGAAGGAAGGAAGGAAGGAAGGAAGGAAGGAAGAAATGAGGTTTGGAGATGAGTGCTAAGACATGGGGTCACTAAACTACTTAGAAGCAGAATCACTATAACTCAGGCTTCTGAAAGAGGAAACACTGTTATCAATGAATGTTGGCTCCACCATGCTGTGTGACCTTCTAGAAGTGATTCAACCCTCTTCATTTATAACACGGAAATAATTTCTACTTCTTAGGGCTCTTTAGGCATTGCTCTTGACCCAGCATTCTTTCCATTCCCACTTTAACTTATTTTAATAACTCCTTTGCAAAAGATTCACTTTGCAAGTCTAATGGTGGCATATATGTTTTACTTTGCCTGATAATTTAAATACAGCAAGAGCATGGTATATTTAGTTATTAATAATCAATGTTATTAGTAGCACTTTCTTTTTATTCCTTTATTAAGATGCCCATAAAACCAACAAAAGTATTACTTGTCATTAACATTCAGAACCTTCCTCCATTTGCCTTTATTTTCTATACTGTCATACATGGGATCACATATTCTGATGTGACATAACTTTGGTGACTAGAGAGTAGATTAATTGCTCAACTGTCTTAGTCAGTTCAGGTTGCTATAACAAAGTACCATAGACTGGGTGACTCAAACAACAAATAGAATATATTCCTTAAAGCTCCAGAGGCTGGGAAATTCATGATCAAGTCACAAGCAGATCTGGTGTCAGTTGAGAACTTGCTTCCTGGCTCATAGATGTTTTCTCCCCTGTCCTCACATGGTGAGAGGAATAAGGGAGCTCTCTGGTTCTCTTTTTATAAGGTAACTAATCCATTCATGAGGGCTCTACTTTCATGACTTAAATATATCCCAAAGTCCCCACCTCTAAATAATCATTACATTGGGGCTTAGGTTTCATGACTTTTTAAGGGACATACACATTCAATCTATGTTTGTTTCTGCCTAGCAGTTCAGAAATCAGACTTTTGTTAGAAAAATAAAATTAATCAAAATATGTCTACTCCAGTTTAAATAGAAACATTGCTAAAATAATTAAGCATACATAAGAAAGAAGACCAGCACATGTAAATTACCTTATAAATTTAGATCGACAGAAAGATAAATCCCTAAAGAAAAATAACATGTAAGATATATTGTCCAAACATTATCTGAACTAATGCAGCAAGTGCTCTAAAAGTTTTTGTTTTTGTTTTGTTTTGTTTTGCAAAGATTTAATGCCAAAACCAGCAAGACATATAAAGATGACTAGTCTCAGATGTTTTAAAAGGTCATTTGCCACTCAGTAGAACTGGGTGGTGAGAAAAACCTTAGAGATTATGTAGTTCAATATATTCATTTCACAGAAAAGGAAGCCAGGTCCAGAAAGGTTAAGTGACTGTCTAGTTAAGGACAAAACCAGGATGTGACCCCAGTCCCTGACTAACAGTCCAGAACGTTTTGTATCACACCAAGCTGCCTATTATATGTTTGTTTGTTTGTTTGGTTGGTTGGTTGTTTGGATGGTTTTTGAAGGAACATGTGCTCTCTCTCTAACTGCAGTGGTGCCAACGTCTATCCTACCTCTTGCTGGGACTGCTGAAACTGCTGTGTCAGCTGCGTCTGTTCCAGCAACACTCTCTCCAGTTCATCGGACTTCTGTTTCATTTCCTTCCTCAAGTCCTCTGAAGCCAAGTCACTCTGGTCAATTTCCTTCTTCAAGCGAGACTCAAAATCTGCAACCAGATTTTTAAGGTTTTCAATTTCCTTCTCCTTCGACTCAGATTCTTCAGTATATTGGATACAAGATTCATGGAGCTTTTTTTCGAGAGTGGCCACTTCTAGCCTTAGATCTCTAGTAGCGTCTGCGATTAAGTCTGATATCTATAAGATAAATCTTGTATTAGTTTTTAGGCAATATCTCTAGGTAGACACAGTTCTTATGGTTTTAAGAGGATTATTCTAAATAATCGGTGTACTCTGCTGATCAGAAGAAAACAAATCCTATGACGTATGTAGGCCTCCGAGATTTTCTTTTTAAAAGTTAAAGACTAACACTTTTATTTTTGCCACCTTGAATGGATTGCATTAATCATTGGGCATCCTTGGAAATATATAAATCTCTGTAACTGAATTAAGCTACCAAGAATGGCTTGAGTTTTTATCTGGATTCACTACAGGGTGGCTTTGTAATTAAAAATGCCCAATGCTTGTGGATGCACGTAGGGGAATACAACCATTGTATTTTATTCATTATCAGACCAATAAGTTTTCCTTTGAGATTGTTTTCCTTCTTATCTCTAATGACTGGATGTAGCTCAGAAACTATACCTTCTAGAGCAGCAGTCTTCAACCTTTCGGACCTCACAGACCACCAGTTCACAGACTACTGGTTGGCGACCGCTGTTCTAGAGCATTACTGCCCACTAGAACTCTCTGTGATGATAAAAATATTCTGGGGTGTCCGATAGGGTACCCCACTGGCCACAGGTGGCTACGGACAGTGTGTGCTGGTAAATGTTTAACAACTGACTCACAGCACACACAGCCAGGTCTTATCTATCTCCACAGCATAAATATGCTCACCATGACCAGGTCCAGGCTACCAAGGGGGCATCACTTATCGCTGAGTCTGGAAGAGAAGCGCACAATAGGCTCTCACTTGCCAGTACCGCCCAATGAGCATTGGAAATGTGGCCAATGGGACTGAGGGACTGAATTTTTCATGTGACTTCATTTTAATTCATTGAAATTTAAGTAGTCACATGTGGCTACCATAGGATACAGTACAGTTCTAGAGGACACCAGAATACTATAAAATAGACTGCTTTTCAAGGTGGTGCCTCTTGATAAAGAGAAAAGAGAATATCTTGGGGAAACTAGTCACGGCAGTCTTTAGAAGGGGAAAGACTGTTTTCTCTCGCCTTGAAAAACAAAACAAAGGACAGAAAACAAAGCAGGAAGAGCAAAGCTGCTTCTGATGAAACAGATCCTTATTATTTATGCCACGGACATTGACAAGCAATACATATTAGGTCAACAGGAAACCAATCCATGGAAGAATCTGGAAAACATTCGGAGACCAAAGTCCCAACGATTTTGTGAACTCTTACTTAAGAATTAAGCCTCTACAACTTGTTTCAAATGTTAAACTTACATTAAGAATAACTTCTTCAAGAAATCTATTTACCACACTTAGTGGTAATTTTATAAATTAAATTAATATGCCATGATCTCCAATTAACCCATGAAGGAAGAGGGTCACTGCTAGCCCTGGACAGTAGTTTCCATCACCCCGAGGAGACATGGCACCGAAACAGAGCAGGCTGTCCCTAGCAGAGAGCCTCACATGGCCACAAGTGTCTTCTGATTTTTTTTTAAAAAGGGAGTCAACATTTAAAATTCAAAGTGTTCACTTTAAAAATCTGGACTTAGGAGTTCTCTTGAAAAAACGGAAACCCTTGCCTTTTGACATTTCCCTGCAGATGGGACCCTAAGACAGCAGTCCCGAGGTGACGGGGGTGGGGTGGGGAGAAGACACGGGATGGGAGGGCATGCCAAGGGGAGCCAGTGGTGACCTAGGGTGCAAGGGATAGGGGATGGGAAGCAAGAGGTCTGCCTGGGGGAGAACCTGCCTCGGGAGGCGGAACCTTGGGTGAGCCAAGGCTCCAAGTTCCCCCGCATGTGCCCCATTATTCCAATAGGACATCACTTATATGATAAAACACAAATTGAAAGATAAACTTGAGGAGTATTATGCTAAGGGAAATAAGCCAGGAAAAGACAAGTATCACATGATCTCACTTATATGTGGAATCTAATGAACTAAATAAACTGATGAACAAAATAGATCCGGAGACACTGAAGCATGCAACAGACTGATGAATTTCAGAGGAAGGAGATGGGGCAGGAAAGGATTAACCAAAGAACTTATTTGCATTTGAAAATTATGCATTGCGGTGGGTGGGGGGCTCAGTTGCATGCACCCTCTCTAAGTTTAGGAGCCCTCTGGGGATGTCCAACTGACAGCTTAGAGTGGGCCTAGAATGGGCCTAAGCCAGCATTTGGATATCCTTAGCACTCGCCAGCCTTGAGCCCAGCTTCTGGCTGAGCGGCACACCCACTGTGGGAGCTCACTTGTCACCAGGGGGCAGCTCCTGCATTGACCTTCTGCATGTCATAGTGACTGGTCATTCTTCTGTTCAGTTGGTTTGCATATTAGCATTTTGTTATATAGGATATGCATAATCCATGGACAGACAATAGTGCAGTAAAGGCCTAGGGAGGGGTGGAAACCAAGTGGAGGAGGACAATTGGGGAAAAAGGGATACTGTAACACTTTCAGATAAAAAGGGAAACATTATTAAGAATTTCAAAATAGCATCTGCAGAGCATTACACCCAAAGCATGAGGCCTTTTTGAGTATGGGGCCCTGTGATACTGTATTTATCATACAAGCTTGTAGCAGGGCCTGCCTTTGAGAAGGTTGTACCATATCCCCTGTACACCAAAGAGGCCATCCAATCCATTTGATGCTTACTTTATACCGACTGTTAATGATTTTATAAAATATCTATATTGATTTATATAAAAATATATATAAAAATATATTTATATAAAAAATATAAAAATATATATTGATTTATATAAAAAATAAATCAGAGAGAGACAAGTATCACATGATCTCACTTAGAAACATCGATGAGAGATGTTTTTCATTGATGTTTCTAAGTGAGATCATGTGATACTTCCCTCTTTCTCTCTCTCTCTCTCTCTCTCTCTCTCTCTATATATATATATATATATATATATATATATATATATATATATAATTGATTTTTTACAGAGAGGAAGGGAGAGGGAGAGAGAGTTAGAAACATTGATGAGAGTGACATCGATCAGCTGCCTTCTGCACACCCCCTACTGGGGATGTGCCCACAACCAAGGTACATGCCTTTGACTGGAATCAAACCCAGGACCCTTGAGTTCACAAGCCGATGCTCTATCCACTGAGCCAAACCACTTAGGGCGTAAGTTTGTTTTTATAAAAAATTCCATACATAGTTGGATTGCATACTTATATAATTTATATCAGCTATTCATCCTGGAGAATATCCAAACCATTCTACCTATGTGGGTAAAACAAGGCCCAGTGTCTATGACGAAAACTGCTGAAGTTCTAAGTTCAGCAGTGCTCTCAGGAGGATAACCAACATCCACAGTGTTAAACCCATTAATGGTGATCATCAGATTGACAGACCTTCATTTGTAGCTCCTCTTGTTCTTTCTTATACTTTTGGATTATTTCTTGGTGTTTTTCCCTTTCAATATCAAGTTCCAGTTTAGCTTCTTCCTTAAAGAGAAGAGCTTGCTCTTCAAATTCAACTAAATGTTGAGCTCTTTCCTTGGCGAATTCAGCTTCAATCTAAAAAATAGCATTTAACACTCACATAAAACCATTTTACCTTAAAATAAGTAAATTAATCTTATTTTCAGACTCCAATATTTTTTAATTCTCACCTGAGGATATTTTTCTATTGCTTTTTAGAAGGAGTGAAAGAGAGAGGGAAAAACAGAGAGAAATACTGATGTGAGAGAAACACATCAATTGGTTGTTTCCTGCCTGAGCCCTGACCACAGCCTGGTCCGGGGAGGAGCCCTTGACTTGCTGGAATCAAATCCGGGATCCTTGGGTCTGCAGGCCAATACTCTATCCACTGAGTCACCCAGGCTGGGCCAGACTCTAATATTTTTTTAAAATTTCTAATTCTAATTCAAAAAGTTAATCTAATTTTTAAATTCTAGTATTTTTTAAAAAGTTGATTCAGAACTTAGGCCAGAAAAATTGACCTTGGGTCAAATATTTTAAGATTTAAGAGATGAAAATAAGTAGAAAAGTTAAAACAATATATGATTACAGTTTTGAGAAATACTAATAGCTTTGTCTTCTGTATATTTATACTGTAAACACAGTCCTTGCCAGCAATCCTATTTTTAAAAAAATTTTGAGGCCCTTAGACTAAGTTCTGTTGAAAGTTCAGAGGGGATATAAAGTACAAATGTTGAGTTTTTAATAGTCCTTTCTTGATGGAGACCATAGATGATCATTTTAATATGACTGTGGCCAGGAGGCTGTTTAAGGAAAACATGGGTCAGTAAGGCCTGCATCCATATTTTGACTCAGAATCTCAGTGCTGGAAGGAACTTTAGAAATCCCTTAGCTCAATTTCACAAGCTTCTATGAATAGTGGAAAGAATAAAAAAGGATTTTGGATTTAAATAAAGTTGAGTTTAAATCCTGGTTCTAACACTTTCTACTTGTATGATGTTATTGTGACTACTAGTAGCCAGATGCACAAAATTCATGCACGGACGTGGGGGGTTGGGGGTGTCAGGTGACCCTCAGCCCAGCCTGCATCCACTCTACTCTGGGACCCCTTGAGAGATGTCCTACTGCTAGTTTAGGCCAGATCCCATGGACATTCCTCTGGCAATCCAGGACTGCTGGCTCCTAACCGCTCACCTGCCTTCCTGCCTGATTGCCCCTAACCATTCTACCTGCTAGCCTGCTTGCCCCCAATTGCTTCCCCTGCCAGCCTTATCACCCCCAACTGCTCCCCTATGCCGGCCTGCTCACCTCCAACTGCCCACAACCACCTCCAACTACCCCTCCCCTCCGCTGGCCTGATCATCCCCACCTGACCCCAACTATAACCTGATTACCCACAACTGCCCTCCCCTCTTGGCCCCTAACTGCCTCTACCTCAGCCCTGCCACCATGGTTTTGTCCAGAAGAATGTCAGGAAGGTCTTCTGGAAAGTCTCTCAGTCTAATTAGCATATTATTCTTTCATTAGTATAGATAGAGGCCTGGTACATGGATGAAGGCCAGCTGGTTTGCCCTGAAGGGTGTCCTGGATCAGGGTGGGGATTCCCTTGGGAGGCAGGGTGGCCTGGGCAAGGGGCCTATGGTGGGTTGTAGGCATTGGGGTGAGGGTCCCCATTGGGGACAGTGCTGGCCTGGGTGAGGGGCTGGGTAATTAGTGTAGGTAATTTCTCCTGGTGGGGTTATGACTAAAGTTCCCTTGTGGGTCCTTATGAGGATGAAATGTGATGAAACATCTAAGAAAAGCTGTAGCATGAGCAGGGTTATAATAGTCAATGTGGATTACTTCTGGGCCCCGATCCCTCAGTCTCTACCATGGAATCCACACCAAATGATTGTCTGCTCTGTGCCTCCACACCACCAGAAACTGTAACTCACTGCTTTCCCAGCAGGCGTTTCCATTTCCAGACAGCATTAAGCATTAGGCACTGCTTCCTTTAGCTAAGCCAACATCTCTCTCCTTGTGGGTTTTAACCATGGGTTTTGGCTCTGCTAATGGAGCAAGAGAGTGAGTCCTGGATTCCTTCAGGCCTGGGAGTTTGTCTGGTGAGACTAGAGAAGCGATCCCAGCGACAGGCTGGCTCTGGATTTACACTGTGCCATGATTATAAATCCTCAGGGGGAATTAATGCCAGATAAGTTGGGAGAAAAACTGTCAAACCTGACTTAGTGAGACTCTGTGGTTGAGGTCACTGTAAGAGGAGGAGAAATGTCAATCTGCATTTCTCAAGGGAACACTGAAACCAGATTACCAGGAAGCAGAGAGATTGCTATGAGGGTTTGTGGGAAGCCCTTTAAATGAAATAAAGTACAGACAGAAGCCTAGCTCCAGTGTGGGGTCGTTAGGTTTATTGTACTGAGTGCAGGCCTGAGCAATTGCCCCAAGGCTAAACAATTATACTTATATTCACTGCAATAAATTCTTTTGGCTCTCTCAAAATAAATTTCTGGATTGTTTAGGGGAAAGAATGTTGATTATCATTTAGAAACACAGAGAGTTGTTCAGATGTGTTGCTCTTGGACTACTAAAGACAAGGAACACCTTACGGGCACTAAGAGAAAATAACAGATGTTCCTGTGAATTCCAGGTACTTACATCCACCTGCCTCCTGGTAGCCATTTAGGAACTTTACAGGTGTCTCAAATAAAGTGTCTGAACCAGAAATCCTGATACAAAAACCTGTCTCCACCTGCTCTGCCCCCAGTCCTTCCCATCTCAGGACTTAGAACCACCATCCATCTCGTTATTCAAATCATTCCCCACTCTCCCTTACTCTCCACACCCAGTCCAGCATTAAATCCTGTTCGTTTTGCATTTACAGAATAAAAATTGGATTCTCTTATTCCCTCTTAGTGATTTCTCAGTGCATTAGTGTAAAATCAAAAAGCCTCTACGTGATTTTCTATAGGGCCACACCACCAGACTGTATGACACCTTCGTGTGAATCAACAAAGTACCCCTTCCTGAGATGAATTCAGCCTCGTGCCAGGCACAGGGCTTGGTGAGCAGAGCACAGGCTGGATGGCAGCTCCTTCTCTCCCTCGACCTGTGCTATTGTGCAGGTCACAACCCAAACGCCGGTCTCTGACAGCCCTGGACTTCTCCAACCTAACTTTCACCACTTTCACCTCTTGATCACTGTGCTCCAGCCACACTGGGATAGATAAGAACACATGGAAAAGGGAAATCAAATGCAAAACATTTGGAAAGATCACAAGGTGTGACTTTAAGAGTTAATGGCCACAAGATACCTTAACAATATTTTTAAAAAACCCAACTAAGTAACATTTTTTAGAAGCTCAAGAAAAACTATTTGTTTTTTAAAAGATCTCTGTACTATTTAAAACTAAGTCAAATTAACATTCCTGATATAGGAGATTCCTTAATTGCAGAATTTTCACTTTAGAGTAACACATTTGTGCATTTGGGACCAATTTTAAATGTTCAGCATGCACATTAATTTCCATTCTTCACATCGAAGCAACACCTCGAGTAAACAAAAATCCATGACAATTAGTAAACATATAGTTATTTTCAAATGTGCCATCCTGTTGCATAGCAACAGCTGATTTTGTTATGTGCCTTTTACGTACTCTAAAGTAATTAAGCACAGGCACAAATGGCTGGCTACATTTTTTAATGACAAAAAGCACTAGTTGTGTTTATTCTAATATGTGTATTGTATATTTATAAAGGGAACACTACATTCCTACACAAAGGCACAGTGACCCAAGAAAGAGATGACAATGTCATATTAGTGATTCTTCTTTCTCATGAGAGGACTTTCGGGGAATTTTTTATTCACAGCTTCAATAGCTAACGCAACCAAGACATAATTATCGTATCTTGGCTTTACTGATCTGGGTCTTGATTTACTGCTAAGCTAAATGATAAGATTTATTAATAAGAAGTCATGCCCCCTCAACAAAATAAAATGTAATAGAAAATTATACCTGCCCAAATACACCTATGATGTAATTAATTTATTAGAAAGATATCCTGGTCTTAGTAAGAACTTACAGAATCCTATGCAGGCTTATTTTCACCATCAAATTAACAGCATAAAGCAAGAACATAATACTCTTATATGGTCAGATGCTAACACTACCTTGGTCTCCTGGCTGGGTTAGGATCACCTCAGGGACAGAGCACAGTGTTCAGTAATACTAGAGTGGATCGTGAAAGCACAGAGTTCACAGGAGATTGTATTTGAAAGTCCTTCCTGAGGTGTGGCTTAGGAGATGAGAAACATACACAAGCAAAGGCAGGAAAGTTCACTCTATCAGTCTAAGAAGAGCTAAGGGAAGGGAAGGACCTGTAAGTCTCTATATTACTTTCATCAGTGAAATTTCTGAGTCAAATATGGGACATTTACAATATATCTTCATACATACTGCCAAACTGCTGTCCAAAACATTGCCGTAATTTCCAGTCCCATAAAGAATATGAAACACTATCTCTCCGGTCCTTCAGTGCAGTGCAAAAACCACTCTATCAAGTGGATGTGTATGGGAAATCTCTCATTGTTTTAATATGCTTTTTTTTTTGTTAGTTGTTTTTACTGTTTATTGTTGAATTTGATCTTCTTTGGTTTTTAAAACATGGATCGGTAAAGATGGGAGAATGTGAATAAGAATAGATTCGCCAACTGAGGACACCAAGACTAATAAAAATTAGAAATAATTAAAGAAGTAGGAACTTTAGCCGAAACTGGTTTGGCTCAGTGGTAGAGCGTCAGTCTGCAGTCTGAAAGGTCACAAGTTCGATTCTGGTCAAGGGCATGTACATTGGTTGTGGGCACATCTCCGGTAGGGGGTGTGCAAGAGGCAGGTGGTTGATGTTTCTCTCTCATGGACATTTCTAGGTCTCTATCCCTCTCTCCTATTCTCTGTAAAAAATCAATAAAATATATTTTAAAAAAGGAAGTAGGAACTTTAGAGAAGAAAAGAAAAAGACCATGCTAAAAAATGAAACAAAATAAGAATGAGACATTTAGAGGAACTTTAGTTCATATTCTCAAATTCAGTTGTTGCCCATATGAATCAATTTAAGTCATAACCAGGAAACCATGGCAGCAGTTAGTGCTAGGGATAGGTACCAGCTGGGGAAGAAAAAGAGTTGGGAAGGCTTCAGTGCACTGTGCATGGTGCATTGGTCTAGGAAGTTCCAGAAGGAACCAAGTATGTGCATAGAAGCAAAGAAATCTAGCTGGAATAGTCTTCTGGCAAATAAACAGACTTTAAAGGAGCAAGTAAGACACATGCTGATGAAAGCTACATTCTCATTACCTTTCCCCTCCAGTTAGCATCATCCAGCCGCTTCTGTCGAAGGGCCTCCTGCAGCTGCTCGATGCTCTTCTGATGTGAAATCAGCATCAGTTCCCTGAAAACCATAAACCTGACAAATGAGTCAAGTCTCATCAGAGAATATAATCTCACAATTTAGTCTGTTTATTCTCTTTAGTAATAGATAGATAGATAGATAGATAAATAGATACTACCAGATATGATTTTTACTTTTAGAAATAATTCACAAACATTGCATAGTAAGGATTTTCTCAGGCTTAATTTCTGTATAGTAAGTTATGCTATTTTTGCATGTGATAGTAACAACATAAATGGATTCAAAAATATAATAAAATGTTTTTCATTGTGGTTCTAAAATTCATGACTAAATTCTAACACTAGACAATATTTTGCTTTGCTTTTTTGTTTGTTTGTTTGTTTTGTTTTGTTTTGTTTTAAAGGAAAATACATTGGGATGTGCCATAAAATCAGCATGTTTTGTGGTTTCTGCTAGATTTATTTTTCTTTTACTTATCTCAAATGCTGATTGGAACAAACCAAATTAAGTGGAGGGTAAAGTCTGAGGTGTGAAATGGCATAGTACAAAACATTAGAAAACTGAAAACACAAAGAACATTTAATATTTTAATCCACATAAAGGGATCCCAAAGCTTAGTTTATGATCCTCGGGGTGGAGGTAATGTGGGTGATTCATGAGAACCTTTCCCAGAGGCACCAAAATTAGCATCTGACTATCACAAGTAGTGGCAAATGCATGCCTGTTGCTTAGGGCGCCTTCCTGTTTCTACAATCATGACTCTTCTTACTTTCTATGTAGGAGATTCTTCCCTGTTCCTTATTCCTCTTCCTAAGTCCTTTGTTTTCCATTACCAACCTCTTCCTTTTACTCTGATCCCTTTTCTCAAACTTGTGACTTTCATTTATAACTGCTGCTGGGCATCTGTATCCTAGTGATGCAACAACACCAAAGATTTCACACATTAAAACACAAATTCATTGTCATATCCTGCAATCTTGCCTTTCCTTTTGGCTTCTGAAAACCTTTCTTTAACAATCAAAATCTTTGTTTGAAATTCCCGAGCCATCTCCAACTCTACCCTCTCCTTGTTCTACCACATCCATTCAATAACAAGTTCTATGTATTCCACTTACTTCTTGTCGAACTGTTTGTTCCCTTCCTTTCCCACTACCAACAACCTCATTAAGCTTCTTGACTTTATCTTCCACCTAGTGTATCGTAATAGACTCTCTGTCTATCTCTTGATCTCTATTCTAGTTTCACTCATTGTATTATTAAAAAAATTTTTTTACTGTAATAAAAATAGTGCCTACATTTCTAATCTAGAAAATTTTAAAGACACAAACATAAGAAGACAAATTTAACTTAGTAACCAGAGGTATAAATATCACTTGAGGAAAAGTGGTTGAGAAAACAAAACTTTCCAGGCTTCTCTTTCCAGAAAATGTGTTGGATAAGATACCTTTACACTTTTCTACTAAAAACAAGTAAAATTATTTTATTTATTATAGAAAATATAAGAATTTGTCAACTAACTGGACAAAAAGGTGAGAAAGATAAAGAGGACAAAACTCAAATGAAAGAATGGACAAACTATCAGTGGAAAACTACTGAAATCTGAGTAAAGTCTTCTGGTTAATTACATTATACCAATGGTAATTTCTTAGTTTTGCACAGAAAAGTAATTATACCATGATTAAGAAAGATAGGCTAAATGGGAAACATCAACTCTCTGTACTGTCTTTGTGACTTTGACATAAATATAAAATTATTCCGAATGAAAGGTTAAAAACAATGAAATTAATTGGAAGAACCCCAGCAATAAATAGAGCACTGAAGCTAACTCTCATCTTGAAAGTACTTTCCAAATATGATGAACATGAGCTTTAAAATTTATAGGCATGAAGGGCACAGGAATCAGGAGACAAAGGAAGAGTATCCAAGGACACTCACCTGAATGAAGTTGCATCACAAAGAGCAACTTACAGTATATGTGTGAAATTCACACTCGTATGTGTAAAATAAAAATAATATCTCCTCTCAAGGTACAAAAAGGAAACAACTGGCTTTGAATTTTGGTGCTAAGTAGAGAGGAAAATACAAATATCTCATAAGAAATCAACCAACCCTAATGCAAATTTATATCCTGAATTCATATTACCTGAGTGGTCCCAAACATTTCATGTTGAAATGATAACTTAAAGTGGTGCTAGGTTAACCTTGTCTCCAGATTCCCGGTAGAAAAAACACCAATATTTTGGGGAGAAAACTATCTTAAAACTGGGGCACAAAGAATTCCTACTGATAAAGATATAAGACCTATGAGAACATAGTTTTAAAAAAAAATCACAAAACTATTTTTTAAAAGTTAATAATAGGAAGGGTGAACAAACACAAAGACAGCATAATCAAACTCACAAATTCTAAAGTATTACATTTTCATATACAGAATATAAAGTAAGGATGCTCAGTACAGTAGAAAAAAAGAAATAAAAGTGATTTAAATGACTAAGTTTGAAAAAGAACCAAATTGAACTTATAGAAATGACAAATATGTGACAAATATGGTAGCTGAAATTGAAAGCTCTGTGGATGGCCATGTAGCAGATTATTCATAGCTGAAAAAATGAAGTGATAAATTAAAAGGGATATTCAAAGAAAGTACATAGAGTGTGGTACAGGTTGTCAAAAATATAACAAGAGAAGTGGCTATCTGGAAGACATATTAAAAAGATCATATACTTATTCATTATTTCAGAAGCAAAGGAGAGAGAAAGAGAAAGGAAGAAATATCCGAGGAGAATATTCCATATTGATGAAAACAACAACCCACAAATCTAGAAGCTCAATGGATTCTAAGTAAGATAAATAAAAATAAATCTTACATATGAGCACCTGGTAGTAGAAAATTATGAACATCTAAGTTAAAGAGATCTTAAAAGCCAAAGAGAAAAAAACTACATAATTTTCCAAGGAACCCAAATAAAATGAAAACTTATTTTCCAACAGAACCAAAAGAAACCAAGGACAGTAAAATAATATGTTCAAAACCCTATGAGAAAATAACCATCAACCTAAAATTGGATACCCAGCAAAACTATCTTTAAGAATGAGACTGAAATAAAACCTGAGTGTTTGGCACTAACTAAAGGAGCATGAAATAATATGCTTTGCAAAAAGGAATACATTCAGAAGCAAGGTCACACATGCCAAAAGAAATAGTGAGCAAAGTAACTGACAAGCACGCAGGTGTTAACTGTAGATGCTTTTTTATTCCTAGTTTGCTGACAGCCACAAAATGCAGGTTGGCGGTTTCCTCTGTGGGAGGATGCAATGCAGTGGAATTGGGGAGAAACATGAGTGACTTCAAAGCTAATGGCAAGGTTCTTTTTCCTGAACTGAGTGATTGATACCTAGATGTTCATTGTGTTGTACTTCTTCAAACTTTACGCCTACATAAACCTTCTATGTATCTACTCAATATTTATAAAAATGAATAATAATAAAGACTGTGTGTGGAGTAGAATGTGTATGTGGAGGAAAACTAATTTAAGGGAGAGGCCAAGGGGAGAGAAAGGCATATTAGTAGTACGGTGGGGTTGATTGACCACTCTGCATACTATGAGCAAGGCGGCGTCATCCGGCCTTGCAGGGACAGAGGTAGGGTCCCTGTCCAAATGGTGCTCAAAATCCAGCCGTACAAAAGGGAGCTTTATCTTTGAAAGTGTGAAGCAGGCCACCAGACTCCGATGCTTGCTCAGCAGTCTGTAGGCTGGAGAACAGCAAGAGACACAGACGGAACATAGGAGGAGGACTCGGCCATTCCTGTCTCCTCTGCAGACTCATCTTCCTCTACTTGTCAATTAATGTTTGTGTTCTCAGCACCTTGTTCTGGCCCTTTTTACTTCCTTTCTTCTCTTTCTCTAGGTGATCTTATCTACTCTTATAATTAAAATGCAATATAGATGCTGACAGCTCCCAAATTTTATCTCTAGCTCATATCTCTAGTTCCGATGCATCTGACTCATGCATCCAACGCTTTACCTGACTGCTCTAATTTTGTATTTCAGAGACATCCAAAACTTAACTTGTTGGTAATCTCAGAGGCTTACAGTACTAGTTTACATTTTGCTCGTTAGGTGGCCTCTGCTGCTCTACTCCATTTTTTGTTCCAGGATGTAGGCCAAGGAGTAGCTCTTATCTGGAAATGTTGATTTTGTGATTTGTAGAAAAGAAAACTTACCAAAACATAGGACCTGTTAAATCTTCTGCTTAGAATTGATACATATCACTTCTCTTATATTTCAGTGTCGAGAACAAGTCAAACGGCAATGTGTGATGTCAAACAAATGTGGATAGCATAGTCCTCTCACTGGGAAGTGCACCATAAGTCACCTGGCACTAGGTGGAGTCCATCACAACTCTGAAATCCTACTGGAAGCCGCTATGAGGATTCCCACCCTGGAGGTGGGAAACATTCTTTGCTTAGTCCATGGTTCTTTCATGTGGAAGTGATTTCTCAGTCCAGTTTTCTCCATGGCTCCTGGCTTTCCTCTCTGATATGCACTGGTCTATGTTGACCGCATTGGAAGTGGGCATTAGAGATTCTACCCTATTGGGAAATAGCTTTGTCAACTTTTATCCTTTCCATAGACTATTTACCTTATATGGCAAAAGGGACTTTGCATATGTGATTAAGGATTTTGGGATGTAGAGATTATCCTGGATTATCTGGATGAGTTCTAAGTGTAATCACCACGGTTCTTTATATAGAGAAGAAAGTTAATGTGGGGGAAGGTGATGATGTGATGACAGAAGCAGATTGGATTCATGGGTCCAGGACCCAAGGAATGCCAGCAACCTCTAATCTAGAAAAGGCAAGGAATGGGTTCTACCCTGGAGCCTCCAGAAAGAACCAGTTTTCCTGACATCTGGATTTTAGTCCCTTAACACTAATTTGGTTTTGCCAGAACTATAAGATAACAAACTGGTATTGTTTTAAGCCACTAAATCTGTGTTAATTTGTTATAGCAGCAATAGGAAACTAATACAATGGTCTGCCTTCAAGTGATATTATGAAACTTCAGGTATAAGATTAGTACCTATAATAGTAAACTTGTTAATGTACTCACAGACACTCATCTGAAAATGCTTCTTGGAATTTTCTAATCAGTAAGACCTTTTTACAAATAGGAAACTGGGGGGAAACAGTGGTCAATGGAAATAAAGCAGCACTTCACCTGGTTTCATAGAATGTCAGTGTCATAGAATGGATGTGGCTGGCCGTATGCTTGTTAGGAGTATCCAGACAGCAGAGTTCTGGACATTTCACTCACTTTTATTTCCTAAGCCAGGTTTCCTATTTGTAAAAAGGTCTTACTGATTAGAAAATTCCAAGAAGCATTTTCAGATGAGGGTCTGTGAGTACATTATAGGTTATCTTCACTATTAAAATGGATAATACTAAATATTTAAGATGCTTGAATTTCAGTCTCCCTGGAGATAGTTACAATTTTTTTTTGTTGTTGTTGTTAATCCTCACCCGAGGTTATGTTTTTTCATTGATTTTCAGAGAGAGTGGAAGGAGGGTGTTGAGACACAGAGAGAAACATTAATATGAGAGAAGCACATTGATTGGTTGCCTCTTACACCCACCCCGATCTGGGTATGTTCCCTTGATCGAAATCAAACCTGCGATCCTTCAGTTCACAGGTCCATGTTATCCACTGAGCCAAACTGAGATAGGTTTGATAGCTATAGATAGTTAGCTATAAATATAATTTTGATATCACCAAAAAGTAGAATCTACTTCATATACTTTACTCTGATAAACCCAGTACAAAACACCCCACTGTTAAGTGTATCCTTTTAGAACAAAACTGGGAAAGTCTAGTATATTAGGTAAGCTAAAATATAGTAGGCCAAGGTTGAAATGATATTAATGAAGTATAGCTATTCACTAAAGTTTCAAAGAACTATTAAGTTCCTTATGAATTTGTGCAAAATATAAGGTGTTTTGAGTGAACTGTTATAAAAATTATAAACTTGCACCTGTGATGGTAAGTTTGCTTGATATGACTACAGAAATAAAGATGGTCATATGTCTTTGATTCCTTATAACTCCAAAAGCTCTTCAGTGTGAGTCTTTTATGGCACAAGGCAGAAAGAATGACTCTATGTGATATTACAAACACTTAACTGTCCTTGATTAGCATGCATATATGCATATACATTTCCTGGTTAGCCTCTCCCTACCCACCTTCTCATCCCCTGGACAAGGTGCAAGATCTTTCATAGTGTACTATGTAAGTGTGGTTTTTATTCTTGGAATCAGGAGTATCTTTTTCATGCATATAATCATCTCTGTATGCACTAGTCAATGCTTATTTCATGCTAATCAAAGGTGAGTGTAGGTGGTAGGGGTCAATGGGGAAAAAATCCAAAGGGGGCATCTACAATACTTTCAACAATAAAGATAAATTTTTTAAAACAGAAAGACACTGATAAAGAAAGACAATATTGTGCTGAAAGAACCAGTAAAGAATCAACTTGGACTCTCGTGAGTCTTTCTGCTAGATGTGTAGAGGAATGATAAGAAATGAAACAGAATTGTTAGAGACATATTCCATCTTTTCCATATTATAAAAAGCTGAAAATGTGCAGCTATTTCTGGATGTCAGGCAGTTTTCCAATTTCCCCTTTAGAACCACTTCTACAGATATTGCTGCTTTACGTCTACAGGAAACAACACAACATCAGGTCCTAAATTTGGATTGACTAAGAATCCAATCAAGAAGATTTTCACTAGAATACAGAATTAAACTCCCAGCTCTCATATTTAGCAAGTCATAAACTCTAAAGTCTGAATCACTGGAGGCTTCTGAGTTTTAAACCATGTGTTCAGTAGTTTGGTTGGGATTAAATTCATTCCCATCCATACATCCAGTATTAATTGAGTGTCTACCAGATGTCAGGCTGTTTTAGTCTCTAGGGATACAGTAGGTTTTTTTCTTGCCAGTCTTTGGAAATAATTAAGAAAATTCCCAATTTTTAGAAGAAATGAAGACCCTGAGTGGTCGGTGTCTTTCTGAAGTGGCGTTATTCACAGGAGGCAGAGCTGGCTCCAGCTCATACCAGCCTAGGACTGTCTACAGTATGTAATGCTGCCTTCACTTTTCATATTTGGGAGAAGAGCTGGCCATCTGTAGCATTCTACCCTGCAATGTCACCAGATATATTTTTAAAATAATGTTTTAGGAGTTGGCACAATAGGCAAACTAGTATCTACTCACAATTAAGAGGATTTGTTTTTAAAACTTTAACTTTTAAGTTCTTAGATTGAAAAGCAAACGAGAATCTAATTTCTTGCATACATGCAAACATCGAGATTCCCTTAATTGTAGTAAAAACGTAACTGCAAACAAATGTCAAACCATAATGCCAAATGACAGCTTTCAGTTCTGTTTCACAAGTTGTTCTAAAGGAGATGTCTTCACATTTTCAATCAAAGAGATAATTTTGATTTTGTCACAACTCCTGCCTCGGTTAAAAGCAGTAAGTCTGTGATATAAGAAGTCAGCCTCTTGCTCTGAGAGCTGTTGATGGAGAGGAAATCAGAGAAAGAAGCGAGTCTTGGGGGGAAACCCCGATAAGGTTTGTTATTTTGGAATGATATTCCTGAGGACACTTCATTTCATAATCCTTTATACTAATAAGATGGCATCCAAATGGATTCACTCCACAGACTAGTAATCTCTTTAACTCTAAGAGTAAGGCAGATAATCTTGAATTCAATAGACACACTTACTGAATATCTACATCACCAGTGCAAGGTATAAAAATTAATCAGATATGACCTTTGAAGGGTTAGCAATATAAGGAACAATGATAGGGAGGGAACTAATACATTGTGAGCACCAACAATCTACCAGGCATAATACTAGATACGTTAATCTTCACAAAAAGATAGCTGTTACTAATATGCCCATTTTACAGGTAAGGAAAATGAACCTTTAATGGTTACATTGTCTAAACTTGAGACTGGTCAAGGTGAAATATACACCTATGTTTGCTTAACTCTAAAGTCCGTTTTTAAAAATGCTAAGCAACGCTACCAAAAGCTCACAAACCTTAAAACATTGCTTCCAGCTCCCTTTCTATATTCTATGCTTCTTATTGCTTCTAGCCTCCATGAAAATAGGACAAGCCATAATGCACACAAATCTTCTCTTCCTCTAGAATGTGCTGTAAAAATGTGTGTATCACATTTTCATTCAGAAGATAGCTCTACTGATTTTGCCTGAGAGTAGAAGACAAAACTCACCACATTGTATTTATTTATAGTGAGTGGGAGAAACCTGAAAGAGTGCGAGGTTGAGGAAAGAAAGAGAGGGGTGGGGAGAGAGGGAACACTGTTTTTTTTCTTCTTTCTGCAGGGCTGGGAGGCCCCTGAAGACCATGTTACAACATGGTTGAGAAACAGTGCTCACATGGACAGAAGCTGACAAAGTCGGGCCTTTTAAGGAGATGCTGAGGAAGTTGTGCAAACTGTAGGAGGCAACATGGGTTATAAAGGTTAGACATACAGACCCTGAGCGAGAAATTCACTCACTTAACCTATTTCCTTATGTGGAAAATGTGCAAACTCACACCTGCTTCACAGGTGAGGGCCACAGCTCTGTGAGGCAGTGCAAATTTAAAACTGACTTCCCCTCTGGGTTGGTGAATTAGGAAGTGTTCCTTTTCAGTTTGATGTAGTCCCATTTGTTTATTTTTTTCTGTGCTTCCCTTGCTCAAGGCGATATATCAGAAAAAAATATTGCTATGAGAAATGTCCTAGATTTACTGTTATGTTTTCTTCTAGTGTTTTCATGGTTTTGAGACTAACATCTAATTAAGCACCCAGCCTGTTTTGTCTTCTGAATGGAAAGTATAGTGTCAGTCACCGGTGACTGACTGGGTGCTTAAAGTGTTAATCCATTTTGAGTTTAATTCTTGTGTATGGTGTAAGACGGTGTAAGATCTAGTTTATCTTCCTCTAGTTTATCTTCCTCCCTCCCTCCCTCCCTCCCTCCCTCCCTCCCTCCCTCCCTCCCTCCCTCCCTCCCTCCCTTCCTTCCTTTTTCTTTTGCACGTATCTGACCAATTTTCCCAACACTGTTTATTGAATAGACTATCTTTACCCTATTTTATGTTCTTGCCTCCTTTGCCAAATATTAACTGACCATAAAGGTGTGGACTTATTTCTGGGCTCCATATTCTATTGGCAAAAATATCTAGGAAGATTGGATGAATATGTTTCTTAGCATCCTTGATATTACCTCAATACCAGAGGTAACCATGTTTATGGCAAGTCCTCAATAAGAGATGTTGACAAATAACAAAGAGAAGAAAAATAGAAAGGAATAAAAGAAAAAGTGGTATAAAAAGAGTTTTCTCTACTGGAAAATGTCAGATTACACCAGTGAATGGTCCAAGTAAATTCAGTAAAGTATCACATGTGGTCTTTTTTTTTTTTTTTTTTTTTTTAATATTTTCAATAAAAATCTAATACTAATATGGGTTCTAACTCTACTTTCATTAACTAACTCTATAACTTTAAGCAAGAAATTTAGCCAATTTAAGCTTTAGTTTGATCCCTGTAAAGTGAGGTCATGGGATGTAAAACCATTCGGGTGAAATATATCTTTAATCCTGGGATTTCAGAACATTGATGTTTCAAATATATATGGAATACTGACATAAACATTAACTATTTTTGGAAGAAATTAGTCTTGACTGCACCTTTCATTTTTCAGTGTTATAACCTCTTCCTTTGTCTGATTCAGAAGAGTTTTGGTTGTCTCCAGTTCATTTTCTGCAAGGTTAATACTCCTTTTTATATCTTCTTCTTGCCTTCCTTTTGCAGTCAGTTCTTCCTGTAAAGTTTTATGTAGTTGTTGACAAGCTATTAAAGAGTCTTCTTTCTCTTTAAGCAATCTAGTATGCCTAAAAAGAAATAGAAAAAAATTCCATCAATGTGCATTAGATACTATATTTTCATGTTTATTAAAGGTATGGAAATTTTCATTTAAAATTAAAGACTATAACTTTAACTTATAAAAATTAAGAATGCTGCCGAAACCGGTTTGGCTCAGTGGATAGAGCGTCAGCCTGTGGATTGAAAGATCCCAGATTTGATTCTAGTCAAGGGCATGTACCTTGGTTGCGGGCACATCCCCAGCAGGGAGTCTGCAGGAGGCAGCTGATCGATGTTTCTAACTCTCCCTCTCCTTCCTCTCTGTAAAAAAAAAAAAATCAATAAAATATTTTTTAAAAATTAAGAATGCTAAGGAAATAGATAGTTCTGCTATTAAAATTTTCCCATCTACCTAGAAGCAAAAGTCAATAAACAGCTTCAAGATATTATATATTTGAAAAATATATATTCTTTTTTTTAAAGAAAGCCAAAGTACATATTAAATAAAATGTTATTTAAAATGTGGTTTCAAACTTTTAAAAAAATATATTTTATTGATATTTTACAGAGAGGAAGACAGAGGGATAGAGAGTTAGAAACATCGATGAGAGAGAATTATCGATCAGCTGCCTCTTGCAAACCCCCTACCGGGGATGTGCCTGCAACCAATGTACATGCCCTTGACCAGAATCGAACCCGGGAACTTTCAGTCCGCAGGCCAACGCTCTATCCACTGAGCCAAACCGGTGTTGGCGAAAAATGTGGTTTCAAACTTAATTACTAAAAAAATATTAATTAAAATATTTGCAATGTATACCTTGATTCAGAAATAGTGGATTCAAACTTCAGTTTTCTAAGTTCTCTTTGACATTCATCAGCTTCATTAGACTTTTTCCTAAAAATAATACAAAAGTGGTACAAATATTTTATTTCAAAATAGTTAAAGTGTAACTGTTTTCCCTTTTTAAAAAAATCCTTACCCAAGGACATGCTTAGAGAGAGAAAAGGAAGGAAGGAAGGAAGGAAGGAAGGAAGGAAGGAAGGAAGGAAGGAAGGAAGGAAGGAAGGAAGGAAGGAAGGAAGGAAGGAAGGAAGGAAGGAAAGAAAGAAAGAAAGAAAGAAAGAAAGAAAGAAAGAAAGAAAGAAAGAAAGAAAGAAAGAAAGAAAGAAAGAAAGAAAGAAAGTAAGTAAGTGAAGGGAGAGATGAATCCATGTGAGTGAGAAACATCGATTGGTTGCCTTCTCTATGCTTCCTGACTGGAGGATCAAACCCACAAACCAGGTAGGTGCCCTGACTTGGAATTCAACTGGTAACCCTTTGGTACATGGAACAATGTTCAACCAATTGAGCCACTCCAATTGGGCTGTTTTCTTTTTTTAAACATGTTTTTCATTTATTACTTTTCTTATATTCATATTCTATTTGTGGTTATATATGCAGATTTCCTTGAAATTATAAATATATAGTCTAAGGATTTTTCTTTGCCAAAATAAATCTAATCTGTTAGTCTAACTATAGGGTTTTTCTTTATCATTATTTTACTTAGAAAAACATTCTTACTATCTTCATATTATTTCTACTTTTATGGCCAAGTAAACTATCAGACTGATCTCCATTTAAATAAAAGTCTAAACTTTGGATAACATTTTTGAAAAAATGAAAAACCCCTCTGTGAAGGTATTGGAAAGTAATCAAGCAGGCAAATTCTGGAGGGATGTTAGCACTCAGAGTGAGGTGACAGCATGGTATCAGGTTTTTACTTGTTTGCTTAATGATTTTACTCTTGAGAGCAGGTCCCAGTCTACACTCACCATGTGTGGAAAACTAAAATTCATAGCAAACTCACAGTCATTCTGGCCTGAAGAACTAGAGCATAGTGTTTGGGGAAACCACAGCTGCTGTGGAGGATAAACTCTGAATAGGAAAGAGCCAGAGAGAAGGAACCCAAATGTTGCATAGAAACTCTGCCCACATGTCTGGCTGAGCTCAGGACTACATGTGCACAGGGCATATTCCAACCCAACTAGTTAAAGATAAGAGAATGGAACTATGAGGCCAAAATAACTGTCTGATGAAGCAACAGCATCTTGCCATTATTTGGAGAAATATAACAGAATCTAGAATCTGCATAACATAACATTCACAATGTCCAGAATAAAAATTACTCATATAGGAGAAACAGAAATGCATAGCCTATTCTCAACAGAAAAGATAGTTAATAGGGACCGACTCTGAATTGAACCAAATATTGAAATTTGCAGAGATTGTTAAAAGAGCAATTATAATTCTGCTCACAGAATTGACTCTAATTAATGAAAAGATAAGAAAAATCTTAGCAGAGAAATAGAAACTATTGAAAAGAACGAAATGGAAATCCTAAAACTGAAATAAACATTTGTCTTGATCTTATATAATTGGTTTTGTAACAATACTAAAAGTTAATATATGAAGAATGATTAATATTCCAATTTAAGTTTATATAAACTGTTCATCAAGTCATTATCCAAATGTACCTTAAAATAGCTTATACTAAACAATGAAATGTTACTTAGGTTATCAATGGGTTTGCCCTACTTGCAGAATGACTTCGTTTCCAAAAAATAATTTTAAAACATCATGCACATGAATAACAGATTCATTTATTTTTAAACCTTTTTATAGTAAAATATGATAAAATTGTAAGATATAGGAAATTACATTTAAATTCCATAATATAACAAATTATTATCAAGAGAACATTCTTATAACTACCATCCAGGCCAAAAAATAAAACTTTACCAGCTACCCTAGAAGCTTCATATTCCTGGTCCCAGCAAAGTCCCCTCACCCTAAAAAAATATCCTTGTGAGTTTTATGGTTATCACTTTGATTTTCTTTGGGGTTTTATTACCCAAATTTTATTCCTGAACACTAATATGCAAATTGTCCCCTCAGGAGTTCAACTGAGAGAGCGGGAGTTCGATTGCTCAGCAGGGCACTGAGGGAAGGAGGAGCCAGGGAGGCAGGGAGGCCTAGGGATCCTACCATACACAAATTTCATGCACCAGGCCTGTAGTTTCCAAATAAAATGTTAGAAAAGAAGGAATCAGAAAAAGATTAACATGCCATTAGTATAGTGGGAAGAGGCTTTGCTCAGGTAAGTCACAAAGGAAAGAATACCAAAGATATATATGCAAGGATACAATTTTTTTTTAATCAGTTAAACTAGCAACTTTTTTATTTTATTTTATTTTTTAGTTATAATACCCAGTGTTGGTTAGGAGAGATGGGCATTTACAAATACTGCTGAATTTTGAAAGTCTGTATAATCATTTTGGAGGGCAATAAGTCATTATGCATTAAAAACCATAAAAATATGACATTTGGTTCTAGCAAAAACCCTAAGGAAGTAATTGTGAGTAGAAAGATTTATCTATATAAATTTCTTTTAAAAAATGTACTTATAAAAGTGAAAAGTTTGGAAATTCTAAAAAACAAAGGATTAGTAAACAAGTTATGGTTCATATGTAGATTGAGATACTATACAGCCATTTAATAATAATCAATAAATGGAGGAGGGAAGATGGCGGAAGAATAGATGGGCGGATTCTGAGCCCTCTCCTGAAGCAGAAAGAGAGAGCAACTGATGGTCTTGAGCTGTGAGTGTTTATTAGCAAGCTGGGAGACAGCGAACACCAGAAGAAACTGCTGGGGGGCTGCTGACAGAGGTACCCCTCACAGGGAAGCACCCACGCGGGCTGCTTCCCTGCCCGGAGCTACCTGCCTGCTTGGATAGGGAAACCTCGCCATCTTGAGAGGAAGATAGGATCCTGTCAGAGGCCTGAATATCAACAGCAGCAGCGACCAACAAGCAACTGTGACCCCCAGAACGCGGATCCCAGGCGGCGCGAACACCTGGCCCCACAGGAGTGCCCCACTGCTCGGCGAAAAGGTCAGATTTCGCGGGGAGAGGGTGGAGCGCACTCGCGGCGAAAACAAAGCCTGCGCGCACAGAGCGCGCGTGGAAGCTGGAGGACAAGGGCGGTGATTACAAGTAGAAGCCCCCGCTGTTCGGCGAGTGTCACCCGTGAAAGTGGACGGGGCTCCTAACAGGGGAGATATCTAAAGAGCAACGCATTTGGATCTGGCGCGGAGGGGTATCGGAGAGTTGCAGGAGATTGAGGTTGCTCGGACCTGCCCCCTCCCCCCTACGTAGTTTCTGCCTCAGAGAGGTCGGAAAAAAAAAAAAAAAAGCTGGAGAGGCTCTAGAGTCTAGGAAACAACCTAGAAACACTGCCCCCAGAGGCTAATTCACAAATTGACTCTAGTGTGATAAAAACAAAGCAAAACCTGCCTAAAAATCAGGACTGGATCATAACAATAGAGGAAGCGAATGACCTTCATTACTGCAAATTTTATTTAAATTTTTTAAATTTTATCACTTTTTTTAATTTTTAAATTTTTGTTTTTTTATTTTTGTTTTCATTATTTGCAACGTTTACTCAAGAAACTATTTTTTTTTCTTTTTCCTCACTTGATTTTATCTTTATAATTACTACATTGTACTACTACTAAGTTACCTTTTTCATCTTATTTTTTTGTTTATTTTTATTATTTTTATTTCATTTGATTATATATATATATTTTTTTTTTAATTTCAGGATTACTGTTCTACAGGCTTTATCTATCTTTCCTTCTCCAACGCTTTATTCTATCTCAACCTATCCTTTATGCCTTCACCCTCTTTCCGATATTTTCCTTTGGTACCCCGTTTATCTTAACCCTTTCCTGCTCTAGATTTTCCCCATTCCTTCTGTCTACCCCCTCCTAAAATTTCACCCTACTTCTATATATCTAATCTCCAACTACTTGCTCCGAGCCCATTCACACCTCCCTCGCAGTTGTCCTAAAAACAAAACAAAACAAAAGTCTTTCTCTCTAACACTTTGAAGTTGTATGTTGAATGTTAACTATACTGAAGTTGTATGCTTTTGTTTATAAGATTGATTTGATATGCTTTTTGTTTGATTGTATGTTTTTGCTAGCTGGGTTCTAGTCACCCTTATTGGTGGTTATTAATATTGCAAACACATCCCGATTCAGTCCCCTGTGTGTTGTACCTGGTCGTGTTGTATTTGGTGCCTTTAAATCAAAGCAGGAGAGAGAGAACTACACAACCAGACATCCTAGATCATGGGGAGACCAAGACACAGCCCGCATATGAAAGAAAAGCAGGCCTCACCAGAAAAGGAAGTAAACGAGATAGAGGGAAGCAACCTACCAGAGCAAGAATTCAGAGTAATGATCATAAGATGGCTAAAAAGAATGGAAGACAAATTTGACAATATGAGTAAGAACCAAGAGGAAATGAAGAAGAACCAAGAAGAAATGAAAAATGACATCGCTACTGTAAAGAACTCAATAGAAAGCATCAAGAGTAGATTAGAAGAAGCAGAGGACCGCATCAGTGAACTAGAAGACAAGATGGAAAAAAATACCCAATTAGAACAGCTTCTGGAAAAAAAAATTAAAAAACAGGAGGAAAGTCTAAGGGAACTCTGGGACAATACAAAACAAAACAATATTAGAGTAATAGGGGTTCCAGAAGGAAAGGGAATTGAGGAAGACATGGAAAACGTATTTCAAGAAATAATGACAGAAAACTTTCCTGAGATAGAGAAGAAAAAACCCACACAAATCCAAGATGCTCGCAGAGTCCCAAGCAAATTGAACCCCAGAAAATCAACCCCTAGACACATTATAATTAAGCTGGCAAACACCTACGACAAAAAAAGAATTTTAAAAGCAGCCAGAGAGAGACAGAAAGTTACATATAAAGGAACCCCCATCAGACTAGCAACTGATTTCTCCACAGAAACTTATCAGGCCAGAAGGGAATGGGATGAAATATACAA